GGGTGAATACCCACATACATTAAAACTAAAATCCCACAAAGAAGGGAGGACTGGAGACTTCGATGAAACCTAGTTCTTCTTTTTTTCCCTTAATCTTGAGAGAATTTGGGGAGTGAATTTTGGGGAATTGAGGAAAATGAATAGAAAATGGTGATTTGGGGCTAAAAAGCTTTATATAGGGCTTACGGTAGAAGGATAAAAAATTAAGAAAAAGACACAAAAGCCCTTTAACATAATTGTCGAACCCTTCTATGGTTTGGACCTACGGTCCATAGAACTTCAGACAGATTATAATGGTCAACCATTTAAAAGTTTAGAAACATTTCATTTGGGACAACATTTGACGGGATTTGTCCATGGCTCGAAGGTCTTCGTACGGTTTGTAGATACCAACCGTAGAAACCAACTTTAACCTTCAAACTTTTACTAAGTCTGGGACTCACCTGCGAGACCTGTCTACGACTCGTACAAAGAATGACAAACCATCCTGGTGAATCGTAAAAAGGGTACTAGGACTTTTAGAAAATTATTTTCCCCTTTCCTATGGTTGCTATCTAGGGCCTGTAGAAGCTTCTACGGTTTGTAGATGGGACCCATAGACATAGCATGTAACCCATAAACTTCTTTTCTCTCTTTTCCAAATTGTGAGGTGTTACAATATCTCTCCCTTGGAACATTCATCCTTGAATGGGACTTAAGGTAATACAAGGAGTGTAGGGGAAGAGATTTAACAGCCCAACAAGAAAACAACTTCATCAAAACAAATCACCAAGAAGGAACATCAAATCTAAGCTAAAACATATTTGAAACATTATTTCATAAGGAATACATGCAAATCACATTCAAATACACATAATCATTAAGAAATCAATCAAGTTAACTAAAATTCTAAAATATCAAATTTTCATGAGTATGCATGTATGAGGAAACACGAGAACAACTAAGACACATGAAACCAAAAGGATGAACCATGAGGAGATAAATATATCTAGCTAGAATAGAATCTGAGGGAAACAGATGGGGATAACGGGACATCATATCGGCATCAGCCTCCCAAGTAGCACCCTCAACCCTTTAATTCCTCCATAGGACCTTTATGGATGCAACTTCCTAATTTCTCAATTTCTTAACTTGCATGTCCAAAATCTCAATCAGACTTTCTTTATAAGAAAGGCTTCCCTTTATCCCAAGACTCTCCAATGGTACAATAGATGTCGGATCACCAACACATTACTTCAACAAAGTTACATGAAACCAGATGCAACATTGGTAAGTCATTATGCAAATCAAGTTCATAAGCAACCTTAGCAATAAACCTCAAAATCTTATATGGGCCCACATAACGGGGACTAAGTTTCCCTTTCTTTCCAAACCTTATTACACCTTTAATGGGTGAAATTTCAAGTAGACCCAATCATATAGATCAAACTCAAGTTCTATCCTTCTAACATCGGCATAGGACTTTTGTCAACTTTGAGTCATTTTCAACCTTTCTCTAATAAGCAGAACTTTCTCCATATCCTCATGTACCAATTCGGGACCTATAAAAGCAGCCTCGCCTATATCAAACAAACATATAAGAGATCTCACCTTCTATCATAAAGAGCCTCAAATGGAGCCATACCAATGCTTGAATGTAATACCTCAGAATTTAGAAAAGGGAGAAAACAAATTTTTGAGTTGTAGGTTGTATCTACAGTTCCCATCTATGGACCGTAGAAGCTTCTACGGGCCGTAGATGCCAACTGCATGGAGTGTGAAAATAATTTTCTAAAAAATCAAGTCCCATTAACTTTTTTACGGTTCATTAGGACGGTCCATCAATCTATGTATAAGTCGTAGATAGGTCATGTAGGTGAGTTCCAGACTTAGTGAAATTTTGAGGGTCAAAGTTTATTTCTACGGTTGGTTTCTACGAATAGTAAAAAGATATAAAACCCATAGACATATTCCATCAAAAGATAGGTGAAATCATGGTCCTAGTACTTTGTCTATGGTTGCCCAGTATGGACAGTAGAAAGTCCTGTGGTCCGTAGGTCGAGTCGGTAGTTATTGTTAAAGGGCTTTTGGGTCTTTTCCTAATTATTTTAACCCAATTCTATGTAGTTTTGCATTATATCCTAAGCCCTATATAACGCTTTTAAGCCCCCAATTTACCCATTTTCAACTCATTCTCCTAAAGTCCCTAAACTTGACTACATTCACTCTCAAAATTCTCTCAAGTCTATAGAAGAAGAGGTAGAGGTAGGGTTCATCTAAGTCTCCAATCCTCTATTCTTTTTGAGCTTCAAGCATCAATGTATGTGTGTATTCACCCATGGAGTCCTTTCCATCATGGGGTCCCTAAGGATTTCAATTTCAACTTGATCAAATTAGGGTTTCAATTCAATAAAATATGGGTTTCATCCAATTATGAGTGATTATTCTTGACTAGGTCTTCTCATGTATTATTTGATTTTAATATATGATATTTAGTTGAAATTGCATTTACTAAATTATAATTTTCAACCATGATCTTGTGATGAACCCATGAACTATGAATTATGAATTTTGCAGTTACTGATGTTTTTATGAAATGGTTATAAATGATTTGGGAATGCTTTGAAAGGAATGTATCAATGTTATTGTGAAAGAATTTCTCATTATGAAGATCATGATTGTGAAAAGTGTTTCTCACAACTGAATTCACATTGGTGAAGGTTTGCTCATCCATGTTTAGTTATATTTAAGAAGTTATTCTATGTTTTGATCTCAAAAGCGTGGATTGGTATTGATCATTGCCTTTCCTATGTTAAAATGATAATTGACTTTTACCTATTACATCAAAATTTAGACTTAGCATCGAGAGGGTTTTGAGGTGGAGGCTCAAATAGGATAGTCTCTAGTAGCAACCTCTAGTCCCAAACTATGTGCCTCTGTAGTATGTCTTAAATGACCTAGCTACTAGATCCACTTTAGCAAATGATGATATGTATGGATTCTACCTTGGAAAGTAGTTTCTCCTTCATTTGATATAAGGGATATACTGGATTCCATGATATAGCTCTCATGGTCTTATTATCAACTAAAGCTAATATCCCACAAAATGATTATATTTTATTAAAAGCTTTTCTTATGTCCTTTATGTTAATGTACTTGACCATGTTTTCATGATTTTCATGTCATGTCTTCTTTAATGCTTTTGAATGTTTCAATATGATCATGCCTAATCATTTTAAGTCATTTATGTTATCATGCCTATGTTTATGTATATTGCCTCATACTTAGTACATTCTATGTACTAGTGCATACTTGTGCCTATATTATTTCATGAATGTAGGATTCGACGTTCCTACATCGCACACTCATGTCTAGATATCTATTGGGTGCTTCAAGTGATTGGTGAGTCCTCATGTTTCGAGGACCGAGACATTTTATAGCTTTATGTCATTTCATTTTAGACTTTTTATGGATGTATGGGTTACGTCCCAATCACTTTCCTTTTGATGTATTAGATGACTTTGAGACTTATGTTAAAACTTTTGGGTTTGTCAATCTATATTGAAATGTTTCTTTTAAACTCTGTATTTCATTATCTTGTATGATGTATGCTAAGTGGCTTGTGTAGGGCCTCTCGGGTTTCTATACATCATGTTACACCTAGGGTATACTTTGGGTCGTGACATTGAATCATAGCTTTTATTGTAAGAAAACTCAATGAAAGCGGGTTTGTCAATCTATATTGAAATGTTTCTTTTAAACTCTGTATTTCATTATCTTGTATGATGTATGCTAAGTGGCTTGTGTAGGGCCTCTCGGGTTTCTATACATCATGTTACACCTAGGGTATACTTTGGGTCGTGACATTGAATCATAGCTTTTATTGTAAGAAAACTCAATGAAAGCCAAATGATCATCCCAATTACCCTTGAAGTCAATCACACAAGCTCTCCACATATGTTCAAAGTTTTAATAGTACACTCCATTTTCCCATCTTTTTGATGATGAAAGTCCGTACTAAGCTTAACACGAGTACCAAGGCATTTTTGGAAAGACTTCCAAAATTAAGAAGTAAATTGGATACCTCGATCGTAGATAATGGATAGGGGTACTCTGCAACCTAACAATCTCCCTTAGATACATCTTAGCATAGTCCACCACCGAATAAGAAATCTTGATTGGAATGAAATGAGCTAACTTCGTCATACAATCTACACTAACCCAAATCGGTTCATGTTGTCCCCGGCTGCGGGGTAAACCATTTTAATGTTGATCGTAAAAATAATTTACGGACCACCTCGACCTCAATGTCCTTTTCACGATAGAGGCTATAGAAACGAGGAGGCGACAAGATTTTCCATTCGCTATTGACATTAGGTACCAAAATCTTACTTTTTGGGAATAGTTTTCCCTTCGCTGTAGAGCGTTTTGGGACCAATTTTCCCTTCGCTATAGACCAAAATTGGCAGGATCAGCCTGCAACAGAGTTATGTCTAGGGAGGCCCATCTTGTGATTGTGATTGGAGTTATGTCGCTAGAGGAGTTGAAGATGCTCGAGGTATTCTTGAGGCTTTCACCTCTGAGGTTTTCTAGGGTTGTGAGTGAGGATACCCACGAGTTTCTAAACTACTAGCCATGAGCAGTTTCATACCTTGGGTCTTGTAGAGTCGAGAGGAGACAACTGCACTGCGTATCAACATGATTGCCAGCGAGATAGTGGTGGTACATTTATTGAGACTAGGACAGTTGGGTCTCCTCCTATCACTTGGATTGAGCTTTTTGAGGTGTTCTTGGCTAGATTGATCCCTCTGAGTATTACATATCGCCTCCAAAATTAATTCTCCATATTGGAGCAAGGCACCATGACAGTGTCTGATTATGAGATAAGGTTTCATGAACTCTCCCACCATGCTACCATGATTCTACCTACTAAGAAGGAGAGGGTTCGGTGCTTTATTTGTTGGTTGAGACTGCAATTCTTGATTGAGGCTCAGTCTATGGTCTCAACTGATTTCTCCTTTCTAGATGTTGTTGATTTCGCCCGCACTGTCGAGAAGCTCCACTGTGAGCACGAATTTCCCTTCATCACTCTTTGGATCAAACTTGCCCAGATCGTCCTTCCCATTGTTTAACACAACGCACTTGCAACCAAAGGCCTTTAGATGACTGAGTGATGGCTTTCTCCCATTTAGCAACTCATAGGGAGTTTTCTTGAGCACGGATCTCATGAGACATCTGTTTGTAACATAGCAAGTTGTATTTACTACTTCTGACCAGAAATTTATTGCAAGACCTGAATCAATGAGCATGGTTCTAGCAATGTCCACCAAGGTCCTATTTTTCCTCTCAACAACACCATTTTGCTAAGGAGTTCTGGGAGCAGAAAAGTTATGATGAATCCCATGGTCAGCGCAAAAGCCTTCTATTTGGGCATTTTTGAACTTTGTACCATGGTCTGATCTTATTCCTGCAATCTTCCAATTTAGTTTCAACTGAATTCCTTTAGCAAAGATGATTAGTACTTCAGCTGTTTCATCATTTGTTCACAGGAACATGTTCTAGGTGAATCTTGAGAAATCATCAACAATCACCAAAATGTATTTCTTTACATCTCTGTTTTGAATTCTCACTAGTCCACAAAGATCCATGTAGAGAAGCTCTAATGGCCTGGTTGTGATGACCCTTTTCTTTTTCTTAAAAGAGGATCCTGTTTTCTTCCTCCTCATGCAAGCATCACCGATTTTGTTCTCATAAAATTTCAGCTTGGGTAGTCCATGGACCAGGTCCCCTACAACTAATTTGTTTAATAGAGATGAACTTACATGTCCCAATCTTCAGTGCCAAAGATTTGCACAGTCAGATTGAGCACTCAGACATGTGAGATTATCCTCTTTTATAGAGTCGAGGTCAGCAACGTACATATTCTTTGTAACACCCCACTATTCGAAAGCGCTAGAATTAGAAAGACGCCATTTTTTTTAAATAATCAAATTTGGAAAGTTTGACCAAGTTAAGTTAAATATGAGTTTTGGGTCAACTTCAAATGACTATAAATCCTAGTTCAAGATGAGTTAGGTGTTCTACTAGATACCGTAGGAAAGATCTTTGAATTATCTTTCCAACGCCGCCGAGTTTTCTCAATTTTGAGTTTGTATGAGGGAGAAATGCCCATTTGAAGTCAGGTTATCTAGATAAGAAAAGTCAAAACCGGATTTTAGAAGGGTACTTTGGTCTTTCCACTACCCAATTATTTAATTTCATTTTTGGTAATAAAGTTGGGGTCTAAACTGATTTGGTTCAGTTTACGCTTCATCAAAAAGAGTTATGGTTTTGAAAGGAGAGAAAAGAAGAGAGAAGAAGCAAGGAATCGTTGCGTTCTTGGAGATTTGCTTGTGGATTTCGCCAAGGATTAATCCCTACGAGGTATGTGAGATCACATTGCGTTGGGTTCGTTCACCCACGTGCCAAACATGTTTTAATTCAGTGAATTTGTGTTCTTGAAAGTATAGAAATTGAGTTCTTGATGGATTTTGTTGAAGTTTCTATTGGGTTCTTGATTGTTGAAGTTGTTGAGGAGTTCTTGATTTAAATTCATGAAATTAGATGTCGTTTTTGAGTAGATTCTTGCATATTTTGGTTATGTATTCAAATCTAAGTGTTTGGGGAAACAACAAATTGAATCTAGAGGGTTTTGAGTTGAAAAATGACCAACAAAATTCGTCAAAATTCTTGCGAAAATGGGTGGGGCGCCGCGCCACTTAGAGCGCCCCACAAAGTGTTCTGTAGTTTGGGCTCTGGGGCGCCGCACCAGCCAATGCGCCCCATCCCCAGTTCTGTAGTTTTTCCTTAGAGCGCCCCAACCCAGGATCTGATGTATGAACTCTAGCGCTCCGCGCCACTCGTAAAAAAAGGCAGCGAAGAAAACAAGACACTAAGTTGTTGCGCTAGCGCGCCAGGGACGCCAGGCCTTCTACCCTTTCCCACTTCTTTCTATTTAAGTTCCCTAGAATCGTACCAAATTTTTCTAGTTGATTTATACACTTTAAGGTAAGTCTAAACATCATGAAATCATCCCTAAATATGAGATCATGAACCTTGAATCCATAATTCAATTCAAGGAAAGTTAAGAGTCAAGTCAAGAGAAGTTCTTAGAGTCTTCCAAAAGTCTTTTACAAATGTTTTAACTTTGTTTTAAGACCTGAGTTTTGAGTTGAGTAAAGAGTAAAGATTAAAGTTTATTTCTTCAAAAGAGCATATGGGGAATATGCATTCCCAAAGAGTAAAATGTTTTCACATTTAAACAAGAAAGGAAACACTGATTTCCAACAGAGCCTTTGAGGTAGTTTTTCAGTAAAAGAGTAAATGCTTTCACACTTAAGCAAGAAAGGAAACTTTGATTTCCTAGAGAGCCATAGGGCTAGTTTTTGAGCAATTATCTCAAACCACAGAAAGGAGTTATGTTTTTAAATATATGGGCTAGTATATTTTGGGAGTAGAATTGAGCATCGATATAGGGGAGAGTTCAGATAACTCCCAACCCCCATAAACTATGTAGCTCTCATAGGTAGAAAAGGGTCATACTTTTTAGATGATTCCCTAATGCTTTTAGCATAGACTAGTGGATCCACTTTGTAGTTAGGTTCTATACCCCTGGCAAGGTATAGGACGGCCCTGGCAGTGTGAGGCAAAATGATGTATCATCACATAGCTCTAAAGTGATGGTTGTCGGTTAGAGAAACTCCCACATAGATATTTTGTATTCTTATATACACAAAGTTAATTGTATTTTTATATACAAACAGAGTTTATATTGTAGCTTTGCATACAGACTGAGTTACTTTTGTATGTCTAAATACACAAACTTGTTATCCATGTTTTAAAAGCTTTTCTTTATATTGCATCCCTATTATTGCTTTATATTGAAATGAGTTAGTTGAGTTGATTTGAGCCCAGGTATGTTCTTTCAGCTCCTTTCAAGCTTATGTCTTGTTTTAGAATTCCTCTCGCATGTTGTACATTCAATGTACTGATGCCAGTTGGCCTGCATCGTTGTTATGATGCAGATACATATAATCAGGATTACCATCCAGCACTTCGTTAATCTAGTTGAGGATTCAGAGTCTTGTGGTGAGCCTCCTTACTTTAGGAGGATCCTTTTTATTGCTTTATTAGTTAGTTCATTAGGATGTCGTGGGTCTTGTCCTGACGTTCATCTCAGTTGTTAGAGGCTTCATACACAGTTAATAGCTTTTTTGTCTTTACATTGTTATTTCTTATGTTAAGAATTGAGTTGCCACTTTGGTCAAGTAGAATGTTTTATCTTTAAACGTTCTAAGTTATCTTTTAAACAGTTGAGTAAAGATGCATTGAATCCTTGTATTAATGCTTTAAGTCTTTCGCTAAGAGTCAAGCCAGGCCAAGGGTTCGCTTGGGGCCAGCAATGGTTGTCGAGTGTCAATCTCACCCAGGGTGTAGGCTCGGGTGACAAACTTGGTATCAGAGCACAGATTTCAAGAGTTCAAGGGAGTCTATGAATCCATGTCTGTAGAGTCTTAGTAATCGGTGTAAAGCGCGCCATATTTAGAATTAGGAGGCTGCAACATTTAGGAACTATCTCACTTCTTTCATACTCATTTCGTGCGATAAAGTTTATCTCTATAAAGTTTGTTTCTTACTCGTGCTTGCGCATATCTTTTAGATCATGCCTCCACACAGAGGTGTTCGAGGTCGTTAGGTTAGAAAGAATGTTAAGGAACAAGGGGTACCTAATGCACCATAAGTGTAACCCCAAGGAGAAGTCACCAATGTTGAGTTCTGTGAGGCCATCCGGATGTTGAGCCAAGTGGTGACCAACCAAGCTGGGCAACAGAGAAAGAATCGTCAAGAAGTGGTTGATACTATGGTCCGTGAGTTCCTAAGGATGAATCCTCCAAGCTTCACAGGTTCAAGTGTCACTGAGGACCCGGAAAACTTTGTTGAAGAACTTCAAAAAGTTTTTGAAATTATGCATGTTGCCGATGCTGAGAGAGTAGAACTAGTTGTATATCAACTGAAGAGTGTTGCTAGGATATGGTACGATCAATGGAAAAAGAATAGGGTTAAGGATGCACCAATTATGAGTTGGGCTATTTTTTAGAGTGCTTTCATGGGGTGTTTCATTCCCCGTGAGCTAAGAGAAGCAAAGGTACGAGAATTCCTTACCCTGAAGCAGAAATCTAAGAGTGTTCATGAGTACGCTCCGGAGATAGTTGTTCACATGAGATATAGAATGAGTTTATTCATTGTTGGGTTGTCTCATCTTTCGAAAAAGGAAGACAAGACAACTATGCTGATAGGGGATATGGACATAGAAAGGTTGATGATCCATGTGCAACAAGTTGAGGAGGACAAGCTAAGGGATAGGGAAGAGTTTAATAATAAGATGGTTAAGACATCAGGGAATGAGTCCGAGCAGCAAAAGAGTAATGTGAACCAGTCATCTTTCCAACATAAGCAGAAGGGACTTGCTCCATCATCTGTTAGTGCACCTGCACCAAGGAACAAAGGTGAGTACAATAGTCAGAATTCTCAGAATTTCATAGCTAGACCTGCACATTCTCAAGGTAGTGTGGCACTAGGGGGTACTAAGACTTCTGAATGTGCTAAGTGTGGTAGGAGCCACTCAGGGGTGTGTCGTGATGGCTCCACTAGTTGCTTCAAGTGTGGTCAGAACGGTCATTTTATGAGAGAGTGTCCTAAGAATAGGCAGGGTGATGGTAATTGGGGAAATAGAGCCCAGTCTTCTTCAGTTGCTCCACCAGACAGAGCTGCATCTAGAGGAGCTACTTCAGGGGGTAGGTGGAGGAGGAAACCATCTTTATGCTATCATTAGTCGCCAAGAGCAAGAGGATTCGCCAGATGTTGTCACTGGTATGATCCAAGTCTTTAGCTTTGATGTTTATGCTTTGCTAGATCCAGAAGCGAGTTTATCTTTTGTAACTCCTTATGTTGCTATGAATTTTGATGTTCTTCCTGAGCAACTTTTTGAGCCCTTTAGTGTTTCTACACCTGTTGGTGATTCTATTCTAACTGAGAGAGTCTATCATGATTGTACCATTTCCATCAATCACAAGAGCAAAATAGTTGATTTAGTTGAGTTAGACATGGTAGATTTTGATATCATATTAGGTATAGACTGGCTTCATGCCTGTTATGCATCAATAAATTGTACAACTCAGGTAGTCAAGTTACAGTTTCCAGTGAACTAATTATAGAGTGGAAGAGTAGTTCAGCAAGGCTTAAGGGTCATTTTATTTCGCACCTTAAGACGAGGAAGTTAGTTTCTAAAGGTTGTGTTTATCACTTAGTCCAAGTTAATGACTCTAGTGTTGAGATACCTCTTATCTAGTCAGTTTCAGTTGTTAGTGAGTTTCCGAAAGTCTTTCCAGACGATCTTCTCGGAGTTCTTCCTAAGAGAGAAATAGACTTTGGTATAGATGTTCTTCCTGATACTCATCCTATCTTTATTCCTCCATATAGAATGGAACCAGCAGAGTTGAAAGAGTTAAAAGAGCAGTTGAAAGATCTCTTAGAGAAAGGTTTTATTCGACCAAGTGTCTCACCTTGGGGCGCTCCGATCCTATTTGTGAGAAAGAAAGATGGTTCTCTTAGAATGTGTATAGATTACCGTCAATTGAATAAGGTTACTATCAAGAATAATTATCCTCTCCTGAGAATTGATAATCTTTTCGATCAACTTCAGGGTGCCACTTGTTTTTTGAAAATAGAGCTCAGATCAGGCTACCATCAGTTGAATGTAAGGGAATATGATATTCCAAAGACAACATTCAGGA